TGTTTCAAATCCTTACAAGGGTTCCACTAAGTCCCGAAGATGCATAAAAGGATACGTCAGATTGTGGCAGAATGTACAGTATGCCAGAAAACGAAAATATCTCGTCACTCTGTTGGAGGGATGAGTTCCGTACTCCTTTCTTCTATAAATGAAATCTTATGTGTAGATCTTCTTGGTCCCTTACTGGAGGCAAGAGCGGGAGCCACGTTTATATTGGTAGTGGTAGGCGCTTTCAGTAAGTTCGTGAGGCTGTTCGCACTAAAACGTGCCACTACTATTGCAATAATTCGATATCTGAAGAAAGTAGTGTTTTCGGACACCCAGTTTGTGGTAAAGAAGTACCTTCCTCTTCTTCAACCACGTTCTATGAATGTTCGGAGGATAACCATTTCACATTCAGTGTTCTAGCATTAGTCTTTATTATTAGAATGAAGAATTTTTGTTTTATTATTTGGCAACATTGCTTCTCAGTGAAGTTTAACTGCGAATGAAAATTCGACAAGAGAGAGTAGCAAGAAAAGAAAACTGTCGGAAGTCGGTCGGTCCGGTGTATATTGTTTATATTGTTTAAAGAATTTTCGGTAATTCGGTATAGTTTTATGGTCAAAAGTAGAAGTCAGTATAGCGTGCTTTCGATCCGTTATTCATTGGGTTAAGAGTGGTGTTTTCCTAATTCCTCCTTTCCTTCCCAAAGCCATTTCCAGCACCATCAGAAATCGAGAAGACAAATTACGGACCAGTGAAGGTAAGAACTTTCTTTCTATTTCTCACAGAACATTATCGGGATGTTCTAGAAATAAACAGAACATTTTTTTTGGTCCCATCGAGCTCGGATTGTGTAAAATTTCAAATAGGTCGTAGTTTGTTTCAATCGGTTTCACTGAATTTTGTAAGTTTCGGTTACCTACAATATTGAGATTCGTAAACCTACATTCAAACGGCGTTCTACGAACAAAATAAAATAAAATTATTGTTTATTCATTTTACCTCATTTTCAATAATCTTTCTAGGCAGTGTGTCGGTTTTTTTACAGTAACAGTTTTTTTGCTGCTAGTCCGCACCTTTACGGGTTTAGGGGGGCGGTGTTGCCAAAGTACCTACTGAAAAGTAATAGAAGCTCTTCAAAACCTATTTCATAACTTGAACCTTGTGAAATTGTTTCTCAGATAAAAAACAATAATTTAAAAGATTGTATAGTTTGTTTGAATCGGTTTCACTGAATTTTGTAATTTTCTGTTACCTACAATATTGCGATTCGTAAACCTACATTCATACGGAAAATATAAATAAAATTATTGTTCATTCATTTCACCTCATTTTGAATATTATCTTTCTAGGGAGTTTTTATATTTCACAGGCAGTGTGTCGGTTTTTACGGTCTTCTGGGAAACACCAGTTTTACGAGAAATCTTCCTTCTTTTCCAAAAATTGAACTTCCTGAATTTTCTGGTGATATTCGAGAGTGGGAAACGTTTTACTCAATTTTCAAAAGTTTAATACACGATAATAAATTGCTGACGAATGTTGATAAAGTCAATTATTTAGTGGGCCGTTTGAAGGGCTCTGCGTTGAGTGTTTGCACGGGATTGGCTCCTACTGGGGACAATTATGATATTATTTGGAAATCTCTTGTTGACAAATATCAAGATGAACGTTCATTAGCGACTAGTTACTTGGATCAGATTTTGGGATTTAGCATATACAGGGGGAATCAGCAAAAAATCTTGAATCATTTTTGGAAAAATTCGATTGTGCGGTACAAGCCTTGAAAAACCTTAAGATGAAGGATTTGGCCACTTGTAAAACTGGATTCGGAAACGGTTAAATCTTTCGAAATGTCTGTTCGTGGTAAGGGTATACCAGCTTATGAAGACGTAATAAAATTTGTTGAACAGCAAGCTAAAATACCCAATTGGAACCGAAATGCTACAACTGTTAAGGGGAATTGTGTTGATACGAGATCGCGTTCAACAAATAAATCTTTCTGTGTCACCCAAGACAACAGATCGGATAATAAAGAAAAGACAAACACTTGTGTGTTTTGTCATAAGGGTAGGCATTTTTTGAGTAGATGTGAAAAATTCAAGCGGTTGACTCCATCTAAACGTTATACATTGGTTCGTGATAATAATTGGTGTTACAATTGCTTGTCTCCAAATCATGGTGTAAGATCTTGTCCGACTGATCGGGTTTGTTCGGAATGTACCAAGAAACATCATTATTTATTGCATTTAGGGAGACCTTTGGCCGGTGTACAACATGACCAAGGGGTACATGGGGCTGTACCAAGTGAAGTTAATGCTAGTAGTGACGCCTCGAATACGAATACTACATCGGAAAATTTTTGTGGAACGGCGATAAAGAATCGTAATAATACAGTATTGTTATCAACGGTGGTAGTAAACGTTCTGAACGGTTCAGGTCAAGGTCAAACGGCTAGATTTTTATTGGATAGCGGCAGTCAGGTTCATCTCATCACTCAGAAATGTTCAAAAAAATTGGGATTGAAAATATCTCGTTGTTCTGTTTCGGTACAAGGAATTGGTTCTAATACACATTCGGTAAGAGGTATCACAGACATCATCGTGGCGTCTCGGTATGATTCATCGAAGAAATATTTCATGCAGGCGCTTTTAGTTGATAAAATTTCTGATAGACTTCCAAGAGTAAAAATTGAACGGAGTTTTTTGGGTAGTTTTGGAGATATTCAACTAGCTGATAATAAATTTGATGAGCCGACAGAAATTGACGGTATCATAGGTGCGGAGCTCTTTGCAACGGTGATGGGGAACAAGAGTTATGCTCCTTCAGCGGGGTCACCAGTGGCGGTACAGACTGTTTTTGGGTATGTTATAATGGGAAAAGTTCCGATATTAAACTCGGTCTCAGACTCGAGGGTATTTTTCAATTTGAAAGAAGAATCATCTCTGAATGAACTTATGACAAAATTTTGGGAAATTGAGCAAGTTCCAAAAAACACTTTACCGGATGTTGAGGAATTACAATGTGATAAAATGTACACTAGTACTTTCAACAGAGATTCAGAAGGGAGATTTACGGTAGCTCTTCCCTTTAAGAATTCACCTAGTACACTGGGTGATTCTAAAACTGGCGCTATGACACGATTGTATTCCTTAGAAAGAAGATTGACAAAATTTCCGAAATTGCGTTCAGGTTACAATGATATTATGAGACAATCCATTGAACAAGGTCATATGCATTGGGTAAGGGATGAATATTTGAAAGCAGCGGATACAACGTACTACATTCCTCACCATGCTATTTTCAAACCTGATAGTTCCAGCACTCCGATTCGAATAGTGCTGGATGCTAGTGCATCCTCCGATAGTGATATTTCTTTGAACGATATTATATACGGAGGCCCGAAATTGCAGTCGGATATTTTTTCTTTGTTGTTGAATTTTAGACTTTTTAGAATTGCGATCACTGCAGACATTCGTAGAATGTACCACCAGATCAAACTAGTAAACTATCATTGGCGATTTCAGAGACTTCTTTGGCGTTTCAGTCCAGATGAACCAGTTCAAGTGTACGAGTTCAATCGGTTGGCATTTGGGGTCAAGACAAGTCCTTACTTGGCTCTACGTACAGTCAAACAGTTGATAAAAGAGGAAGGTTATATATTTATAACCACTTCTGCTGCTAATGGATATTTCCATTAGCAGCAGAAGTGGTATCGACGGATCTATACATGTATGATTTGGTGTGTAGTGTATCTTCGGAAGAGGAAGCTCAGCGGTTATATTCAGAATCGGTAGCAATGTTTGCAGAAGGAAAGTTCGATTTGACAAAGTGGTCTTCGAGTTCGTTGGAATTGTTGGAGAAAATCCCCTGTGAAAAGAGGTTATCACAGCCTGTGCTTTTTAAGACAGAAACAAAAATATTAGGAATGTTCTGGAATCCTGAAATGGATAGTTTTAGGTTTAAGTTTCCAGTTCCAGGATCTTGCTGCACTAAACGTTTAATCTTGTCCACAGTGGCGCGATGTTATGATCCAGTAGGATTGTTGGAACCATTCATTTTGTATTTGAAACTTCTGATAAAGGAGCTATGGAAACTCAAAATAGGTTGGGATGACATAGTCCCCTATGAAGTTTCCCAGAAGTGGTTGAATCTGAAAGATGAATGGTCGGTACTTGGGGAGTTCAGTTTTCGCGTTACATGGGAACCGTGAGAACATCTCCAATAATATTAGTAGCTTTTGCGGATGCCAGCACGGATGGATGTGGAGCTGTGGTATATATGCGAACAGTAACAGAAAACGGAGAAATTGCTGTTAATTTGTTATGTGCGAAATCCAAGGTTTCCCCCTTCAAGATTGTTACAATTCCTAGACTAGAGTTAGTGGCAGGTGTTCTTTTATCTCGGTTGGTCAAACATGTTTTGAAAATTTTCAATAATAAAATTTGTATTTCAAAAATATTTGCATTTTCAGATTCTACGATAGTTCTTCAATGGATGAATTCTACCCTGTTGAAAGATATATTTGTCGCCAACAGGGTTGCACAAATAAAAGAAAATATTTCAAATGCTGAGTGGTGTCATATATCTGGGTTAACGAATCCTGCGGATATTTTATCTAGGGGTGCAACTCCTTCCCAATTGATGGGAAACTACTTGTGGATTTCGGGTCCAAATTGGATGAAATTACCGGTTGAAGATTGGCATATTAGTGAGAACAGTTGTTTTGAGAATTGTGAGCAGGACATCGATTCCATAAAATGTCTCGTTTCAATGGAGAACACGGAAACGCCTCCATTGTACGAGATGGTTATGAGGTCGTCATCATACATTTCAATTTTGCGGATAACGGTGAGAGTGCTTCGTTTTGTGAAGCTCCTTCCAATGAAAGAAATAATCACAGCAAGTGATATGAATAGAGCGGAACTGGTCTTGGTGAGAATCGTGCAAAGCAAATATTTTGCATCCGATATTAAACTTTCGAATTCGGGAAAGGAAATTTCAAATAGATTGCGCAAGTTGAACCCCTTTCTTCAAAGCAGAGTTCTAATGGTGGGGGGTAGGTTAGAGAATGCTCCCATATCTTTCGCGGCTCGACATCCTATCATACTGCCTGGTAAGGATCCTTTCACGGAGAAATTAATAGATTATTATCATAAAATATATCTTCACACCGGTCCATATTTGATGGAAGCAATTTTGAGGCAAAAATTTTGGATATTGTCATTCGACAACGAGTTCATGCATGTAATAGGTGTTTCAGATTGAAACCCAAGACGATAAATCCTCTGATGGCGGATTTGCCGACATCAAGATTACATCAAGCTAAAGTTTTCTCTCATACGGGTATTGACTATTTCGGCCCATTCAGTATAACCCTTGGAAGACGGAGAGGGGCTCAAGTATACAAAGGCTATGTCTGTTTGTTCGTGTGTATGAGTGTAAAGGCAATTCATTTAGAACTTGTTAGCTCATTATCAACAGATAGTTTTTTGCAGGCTTTGAAACGATTTTTATCTCGGAGAGGACCTTGCAGTGTTATTTATTCTGATCAGGGTACAAATTTCGTGGGCGCGAATACTGTTCTTCGAGAAATTAATGAGTTCATCAATTCCGAACGGTACAAAAAGGCGTTTCAAACAGAATTAGCTATAAATGGTATTGAGTGGAAACTCAATACTCCGGCGGCTCCACACATGGGTGGATTGTGGGAAAGCCATGTTAAATATGCGAAAACTCATATCTTCAGAGTGATAGGCACGCAACTTTTAACTTTTGAGGAATTCAACACTTTGTTGATACAAGTTGAAGCGTTATTGAATTCTTGTCCTTTTTGTAGTTTATCAGCGGACCCATCAGCACCTGAGGCATTGACACCTTCGCATTTTTTGACAATAATTCCATTGAAAGGTTTACCTGCAGATAATTTGACAGATATTAATATAAACAGAATTGATCGGTTCCAGCTAATAGATAGGATGGTTCAAGATTATTGGAAGCGTTGGCATTTAGAGTATCTTACTACTTTACAAGTGAGAGAGAAATGGAATACAAAATGTCCCAATATAAAGGTCGGGACAACTGTTATTTTGAAAAATGATAATTTGCCACCGCTTCATTGGCCATTAGCTATTATTACTGATGTTCATCCAGGAAAGGATGGAATGATTCGTAATGTAACAGTAAGGACTAATAAAGGCACCTACTCTAGACCGGTGATTAAGGTGTGTCCTTCACCTACTCAATAAAAAGAGTTTTTCTTACGAGCTGCACATCTTCTCCGTAGTCCCTGCATCATCATCTTTTGAGATGGACCATTGCACATTTGTCTATCCCGAATTTCATATCGATAGCATGCGTGTACTCTTCCACCACCCTCAAGGACTGATGGAGATCCTTCTCTCCAGAGGCATAAAGTTTAAGATCATTCATATAAAACAAATAGGTGCAATAGGGTATAACTGTGGCACCCCCGGAAACCGGGGTGTCACAGTTATAGGGTAATAGGGTATAACTGTGGCACCCCGGTCCCGGGTGCCTCGAGTATTTCTAAGCGCTACGGATAATGGCAATAGTGAGATGCAGAAGAGAAGGGGACTGAGGAAATCGCCCTGAAATACACCCCTCCTGAAAGTGACCTACCCTGTTTGGACTCTGGCTTGACCAGATGTTGTGGTGAAGCGAGTTCGCCAGAGTGGTATCAGTTGTTCAATGCATCCCACTATTTTGTCGGGTACCGACAAAATTATCATTATTATCATTCATTTTTGTATAGTCTACTATTGTATCCAATATACTATACACCAGACCTATTAATTTCTGTATAGTCTGATGTTCTTCCAAATTTAGCCAATTGTGATTTTTATTTGATCTTTCGAATGGCCTGACCCGTTACCTCGGTAAGAAGCTACCGAGAAAACTACGGTGTTAGCGTCTAAAAATAGAAATGTTTGTGAAAATTGTTCAATTATCATCATTGATTTCATTTGATCTAGTTACTAAGTGACCTTTATCAACATAAGAACGTGGCGAGGTTATTATATAAAGAGAGGTGAACTTCTGAATCAAGAAAGAGAAAAATCAATGTTTCAATAAACGAAGAGTTCACCTGAAATAACTACTTTCGAACCTAACTTAGTTATTTCACAATATTTTATACAATACATCATCAATATGTTTTTAACAAACTGGACCGACGTAAACAAGTTGACGTGGTGTATACGGACTTCAGCATATCATTTGGTCGGTTTCATGCTCATAAAATTATCAAGATATGGCATTTCTGCTGCTGCTGAAATCATATCTCAGTGATAGAAAATTATTTGTGGAATACGAATGAATTAAATCGTTTATATTTGATGCAAATTTCGGGGTTCCTCAAGGTTCAAACTTGGGTCCACTATTATTTATTCTGTTTACTAATGACATTTCTGATAGTATCAACTCTAAAAAACTACTTTTTGCTGATGATATGAAGATTTTCAAGGAGATTTAAGACTACTCTGATTGTATATCATTACAAAACGATATTACTGAGTTACATGATTGGTGTCAGAAAAATAAACTATCATTCAACATAGGAAAATGTAAAACTATGATTTTTGCAAGGAAATCCTCAGTAGAAATATATAACTACAAATTGGATAATATAACATTGGCAAGGTTTACCGAATCGAGAGATCTAGGTATTATCTTTGATGAAAAACTAACGTTCTTATCACATATCAAACAAATAACATTCCGTGCAATGAAACTGCTGAGATTTGTTGTGCGTAATAGCAAAGAGTTCTCATTATTAGAGGCAATTAGCTCTATATATTATTCATTGGTCAAAACCAAACTAGAATATTGTGGCTCCATATGAAATCCTTGTCGGAAAACGAATCCACGTGTTCTTAGAAATGATATGAAATCTAAAAAGGTTAATGCAGTCAAGCTTCTGAAAAATAATTCCATGAAAATCAAAAATAAATAGAAAAATACTTTTTGATCATTTCCATATCGATTTCAATTCAAGAGCCACCGGTAGACAGCTGTTTCAGCCTATTGGGCATCGTCAGTACCGGGCAGGCGGTCCTTGATTGAAGACAAAATGAGAAAAACCAAGAAAGTACTTGATAAAAATAGCTGCGTAAACGCAAGCGAAACATAAGTGGAACCACCTATTGGTGTGACACCCAAGTCAACTTGCCAAGTTTTTATGTCAGTGTTGGTGGTTTGACCAATCAACCGACAACTGCGGTAGCAGAAATTTGGGAAGCTAACCTGAAATGCCATCGGAAAACGAATCCACATGTTTCTAGAAATGATATGAAATCTAGAAAGGTTAATGCAGTCAAGC